TTGATATTTTTTTATATGTGTTCATGTTTTGTAATTTCGATTTATTCTATCCATAATGATATTGATTTTGTAATTGTTAAAGAATTTTCGATTGTAAAGATTTCGATATCGTCCGAGTAATATGGATAAACCTATTGGAAAACAGATCGACAACAATGAGAATGAAAAGGTTGAAATCGTCTACGACTACAATCGGAATTCGAATTCATATGTAATTGTTTACAAATGTTCATATTATGTTCATATGTACACTAGCTGCATATCTCAACATTGGCTTGCTTCTGAATGTGTTCATAATAAAAAAACTATTGTTTACAAACTGTTCATATGTGTTCATATGTACACTAGCTGCATATTTCAACATTGGCTTACTCCTGAATGTGTTCACAATGAGAAAACTATTATTCACAAACTGTTCATATTATGTTCTTATCTGTTTTTTATTTATTTATTTACTTTCATGTAACAACTATTCTTATTATATTCATATTGTGTTCATAAATATTATACAGTCCAGGTTCATATATATGTCAATGTTTGTTCGTTTTTGACACAATGGTTCATATGAACACACACACACACATATATATATGTGTGTGTGTGTGTGTTCATATGATTTTTACATTAACAAAAGTAAACTAATAAAAATAATGAGATTTTTTATCATTATTAATCACAACCCTTTATCGTAAGAATCAATGGTCAAGATTGGTTAACAAAGTTAACACAATAATCTTGGTTAATATTTGAACCAACCCCTATATATATACACACACATACATATATATATATATATATATTATTTATTTCAACTAAAACGGTAATTCATAATTTCTTATTTCCTAACTATGTTTATAATCTAAAATTGTTACTTTTTGGATGTTAATATGTAATATTTTGGATGTTAATATGTAATATTTTGGATATTAAGTCAAAATACAATTACTCGATAAGTTTTGTATATTATTCGATATGATTTTATAGTAGTCAATATTTTTTTGTACATGTGACTTTAAGTTTTTTTTGGATTAAATTGATTTTTTTTTTGTTTTAGGTTATTAGTTATTATATAATGTTATGGTTTTTTTGTATTAAATTAAATTCATTTTGGTTTTAGGTTTATTGAAAATGTTTGAGATTTAAATATGTATGGTCTCTCACATATTTAATTCAAAATAATTTATATAAACGGGAAAAAAAATCCTCGTTATGGGGATGTGATTTCAATCATCGATGGGGATGGAGACGGGGATAGAGATAAGTAATCGTGGACGGGGACGAGAATTGAGGTCCCCGCCCCATTCCCATGCCTACCACAGATCTAACTCTGGCCACCTCTTGTCGGCAACTCCAACTCTGGCCGCCTCCATCGTCGGCAAACCCAACCACCAAACAAACAGTTTCATCTCCATTATCTTTTCGTCCATGTATGTGCGATTGCCAGATCTGCTTCATAACTTCGTCCTTGAGTTCGTCCCTAAGTTAGGGTTCATTTTCATACCTTCAACTTTGTTCATCTTCTCCAACCCCTAATTCCTTAAGGGAAGAATTGAATTTAGTTTCACTTTCGTCCCTAAGTTAGGGTTCGTCCCTGACATGGTGATATGCAAGCACGAAAATGCGAATTCGGTTTCGGGTTTGGCCAAGAGAGATGTGATAAACAACCCACATCAAGATTCATGCAATCAGTTGGAAAATCGATCTAATTTCTCATAAGATGAAGAAGATAACTTGAGCATGAACATTCTTCGGTTTTTTAAATCTGAATATGAATCATATTTCGACTTCACTGAAGGTTGTCTTGGATACCCTCTTGAAGATCAAACCCTTTGGGTCTGGCCTTAATTTTGAAATCTTGATTTGAGATCAAAACTCGTATTGTAGTTCTTAGTAGTCTTCATTTTTGTTGCAGATTATACTTAGATTAGATGTCAATAATATTACCCTCCTTCAAGAGAGAAGGTTTTTTTATTTAGAGTTAGGGTTTTGATTGTTCTTGATTTTGAATTAGGGTTATGGATAAATTGGATTGTTCTTGATTTTGAGTTAGGACTTTTAATTGTTTTATTCTAAGTTATGATTCTTGTTCTTGATTTTCGGTTAGGGTTTATAAGTAGAAAAAAAATGAAGATTTAAAGAAAATTAAAAAACATGTATTTATTATATATAATGTAATAATATGGATTTGGTCCTTGCATGTCAATTTTTATGAATCTGGATTTTTATCTTTATTTATTACAAAAAAAAAAAAAAAACAAGATGTACCTCATTTAATGAATTTTTTTTAACTTTATTAGAATGAAGGACGAAAAACGAAAAGAAATACAAACCATAGGAACGAAAAAAAACAGTTTCTAAACCATAGGGATGAAAATCATAGTTTACTCATAAAATTTTTGTGTCAAAAATATATTTTAAACCATACCGGATCCGGGACAATATCCGGGCCTAGAGTGGTCCTAGAATTTTTGGCCGGAACCATGGCTTGCCTGGTATTGAAGGGACCGCTTTAGGATTTACCCATGATCGATTTTTGACCATCTTTACCATAATGTACTAAGATGGAGCTTTTTTGTGCCCGTTTCTTTTGGACATCTCTTCAAGTGACACATAGCTAATCACTTTAGATCTCCATGTTCCATGGCCTAACCTTTGCTTAGCATATAAATACTTGTCTTATTCATAATATAATAAGACAAATATTTGTTTTGTCTCTTTTTATTTCGTTTATGATTCAAATATATTTTGAAGGCTGGAGTCTATAGGGGTTTAATTTCATTACCTTTGTGACTTTTATTTCGAACTATATTTAAATGTTATCCATGTAAACCATTTCTTTAATAAAATCATCCAATTTGATCCGTTTCGGAAAATTGGATCAAAATAATCATGTTTCTAAGTATAATAAACTACTTATGATGCCATAATCAAGCATAATAAAATTACTTTTGTCCTACATATGTGGTTTTTTGTGTGATTTACGTTCCCACGAGTATAACTTAATATAAAATTGCATTAACAAACACATCTATTCAGGACAATTTGGATTGTATTATATAGGAATAAGCATAGCAACCGCTTAAATTTCATCATTATAATTTATATCTTATTAATCATTTTAAGTTTTCATTCATGACATTTTGTTGTTTTACATTTTCTGAAATCGTTTTAGATGAAGAGTTGGGGAGAATAAAAAGTTAAGATGAGAAAAGTAAGAAAAGATCTCCACCTTGGATGTATATTAGGATGAGATGCACCAGATCAATTATCGTATCAAACGTAATTCATGGATGAAAAGTTCAGATCCCTTTTTAACTTTTATTTTCCCATGATTATCAAACGACGGTTATATGTTCAAATAAATGTTAGGTTTTCAATTATTACAAGCATCCTTTTTCTTTATGCTCACAACCAAATTAAACAAATCAAACATATTTTATATCTACAGTTCAAAAGGTAAACTAAACAAAAAGATTACAATAAATCATAGATTTATTTGTTATCTACTTTAATTGGTGGCACTTAGAATTTTTCTTTAAGCGGGTCGATAAAAAGTTCGTAAACTTATAGTTCGATCTGTGAAGAAATTAACGAGGTTTGACTTATAGAAAAGTCAATTATGTTAATTTGAGAAATAAAATACATTTTTTTTCCAAATGAAATAAACCTTGATCCTATAAATAAATATATGTTGTCTAGAAATTGAGATAAAAAAGTAGGGGTGTTCACTGTCCGGTTTGAATGATTTAATCCCTCATATCACAAACCTAACTGTATGACGGTTTATAAAATTTTCAAACCGAACAGTTTGACATGAAATACCAATTCAAATAGTTTGAGCCTGACTTTAAAAATTAAACTTAAAAAACATATATAATTTTTAATTTTAGATTAAATATTCATTTTAATAAAACAAAACATTCAAATAAATAAATATAATAAACAACTATTTGAGTTCAAAATTCAAATAATTCAAAGTTACAAAATTATATATATATAATAAATATTAGTAAGCAAACAAAGCTATGTGCCTCAGTCAAAGCTCCATGGCAAGCATTTCTTGAGTGTTGAGTTTTTGACCAAATAAAGTTTAAATGTTTAGGCTTTATGTTGATTTTTAGGGACAAATTTTGGGCCATAAGTTTAAAAAATTGGGTAATAATATATATATATATATATATATATATATATATATGTGTGTGTGTGTGTGTATGTGTGTGTGTGTGTATTTGGTGATTGGTTTGGTTCAAACAGTCTAAAAAAAGTTTTAGATCGCAGACTCAATCCGAACTGCCAAAAACGGTCCGATTTGACTTGGTTCGACCGGTTTGAAAGGTCTGATAGTTTTTATAAACACCTCTATAAAAAAACGACAATTTTTAAGATGACTGTAATTTTTAAGATGACTGACGTTGAAAAGGAAAATAAATTATGAAAAAATAATAAAAACAAAATGAAAGAAAACTTAACAAAAAAGGTTGTATCAGCATAACTGTAATAATGCTTATAATTGTATTTTGATCCTTGTAAATATATTTTTGCTGTTAGAGATCTCAGAATTAGTATTGTAGGACCTGAATAAATGCTCTATTCCAGCCCTGGAGCCTAAAATCAGAAGATGAAAAGTAAATTTTCACCTAAAAGATTTGAACTGGTGACATTTTGTATATAAAATTGTAATACAGTGGGTACATTTTTCAGACCACTAAATTTTTTTCTCTCATAAAAATCGAATGAGTAGATGTACGGAAGTCCGTTCAGCTCCTAATAAGTCCGTATTTTATTTAAAAAAAGAGGGTTATTAATCACATGCTTAAATTATTAAAAAAATTATATTTGTTGATGTAAGTATAAAAAAACATTTTCATCACAATATGCATTTTTATAATTTTATTGAGTTTGATGTAACAAATTAAACAAAGAAAAAACATGTGATTTTTGCGAAATTACTAATATTATTGAATAAAATAATAGCAGGCGGCCCATCTCATTCTCAACAAGAGTCTCCTCAGGCACCTTTTCTGACTCTGATCCACTCGTAACAAACCCCTCATTCCACACTCTTTTCACTTCACCCCCAAATTATCTCCTCAAATTTGCAGATAAGATGGAAGCACCTCAAGTGGAAGCCATGGAGATCACTACCAGAAACGATCCTCCACAGGAAGATGAACAAGATAGTATCATTGATGCCTGGTAGATATATATCTCGATCTGCTCATATTTTCATTCAATTTCGAACGATTTAAACCTCCTATTTAATTTTAATTCATCTGATTTTGATATTACTTCTGTGGATCGTCCAGTTGTTCTTGCGTCTATGAATGCACCGAGACCGTGTTAGACTACTTGTTCTGTGGCCTCTGTTAGATATGCATCTTTCGTTATCGGTGAAGAATTCCGTGAATCTAACAGCTTCTAGAGCTTACAAACGATTTTTTGTTGCATCCAAGTCAGGACTGTTGATTTTCTCTGTGAAATTTTCCTGAATCGAGCAATTATTTGTCGTCACAGGTTCATCATTTTGCTTTACTCTGTCTTTTGTTAATACTATTGGATTAGCTCTTAATTACAAATACGATACAATAAATCAATCTCTCAGTTTTATTTCCTTTTTCCTGTTTTGGAATTAGATCGTAGAAAGATCATTTTGCTTTTCAAGAGAATATTCATTACTTATTCGGGGAAAAAAAATATTAATTAACGTATTTATTATTGCATAATTATATCAATTATTTATTTCCAAAAAATATTATATCAATTAAGTCACTTTTATCAAATATTGAGGGATTGTTATTTGCACCCCTACCTATAACAAAGGTAAAAAAAACCCGTAGTAAACAACATTAAATGGCCGTTTACTAAGCACTTACTTGGTAAGTGCTTACTGGATAAATTTTCTCATCGGATAAATATGAAAAGAGCCAATAAGAACGATCAGAAGGATGAAAAGTTTTACTCGGTAAGTGAAGATGACGACTCTTACCCAGGTAAGTGCTTACCCAGTAAATTGTTGCATTCTATATGTTTTGATTTACTAAAATCTTATGCATCAAAATAAATTATAGTGTTGAATCTTATTAATAAACACTTATTAGGTAAGCATTTGTGTAAGTGGCCCCTAAATTACCTAAAAACTTGAAAAGTGATATTATTTCATATATATATATATATATATATAGGGGGAGGTTCAAACGAGAACCCCTGTGATTTACGAGAATGCAAGAACAACCCAATAACCTCAAACTTTTTTAATTAATAAATTAACTTTTATTATATATAAATAATTTAATAAGGACAATAATGTAATTAAGTAATTTTTATTTTATTTTAATTAACCATAATTATCTTTTCACGTTCCTAGTTTTACTCTTGGTAGTTATCTTCTTCTTCTTCTCATCAACATCTTTTCTTCATATCACATCTCTATCACATAAGTATTGCACTCATATCATATGATTATCACACCCTTATTATATGATTACACCAAAATTTTAACTTGTCAACCAAAACGATAACCCAAGTGATGTATAACAGTGATTATCACACCCTTATCACATGATTATCACACCCTTATCACATGATTATCACACCCAAATCACATGATGACACAAAAATTTTAACTTATTGACCAAAACGATAATCCAAGTGATGTATAATGGTGATTATCACACCCCTATCACATGATTATCACACCTATATCACATGATTATCACACCTAGTATAATCCTAACCTATTTCGTAACCGTTTTACTAGATAATGATAATAATGAGTGTTTAAAAGATAATGATCGTGTTTAAAAGATTTGATGATATCATTTCC